GTGGTGGAGGGTTACGACACATTTATAAATAATGCGATCTAACCCAAAAACCTTTATTATGAATAATATTGGTCGCGAAAGCCTATGTGTTAAACTGAAGGTGACAACAGTTGGTGCGATTATTCGCAAATGGAAGAAACACAAAAGAACTGTCAATCTCCCTCGGCCTGGGGCTCCATGCAAGATCTCACCTCGTGGAGTTGCAATGATCATGAGAACGGTGAGGAATCAGCCCAGAACTACACGGGAAGATCTTGTCAATGATCTCAAGGCAGCTGGGACCATAGTCACCAATAAAACAATTGGTAACACACTACGCCGTGAAGAGCTGAAATCTTGCAGCGCCCGCAAGGTCCCCCTGCTCAAGAAAGCACATATAAATGCCCGTCTGAAGTTTGCCAATGAACATCTGAATGATTCAGAGGACAACTGAGTGAAAGTGTTGTGGTCAGATGAGACCAAAATGGAGCTCTTTGGCATCAACTCAACTCGCCATGTTTGGAGGAGGAGGAATGCTGCCTATGACCCCAAGAACACCATCCCCACCGTCAAACATGGAGGTGGAAACATGCTTTGGGGGTGTTTTTCTGCTAAGGGGACAGGACAACTTCACCGCATCAAAGGGACGATGGACGGGGCCATGTACCGTCAAATCTTGGGTGAGAACCTCCTTCCCTCAGCCAGGGCATTTAAAATGGGTCGTAGATGTGTATTCCAGCATGACAATGACCCAAAAGACACGGCTAAGGCAACAAAGGAGTGGCTCAAGAAGAAGCACATTAAGGTTCTGGAGTGGCCTAGCCAGTCTCCAGACCTTAATCCCATAGAAAATCTGTGGAGGGAGCTGAAGGTTCGAGTTGCCAATCGTCAGCCTCGAAACTTTAATGACTTGGAGAAGATCTGCAAAGAGGAGTGGGACAAAATCCCTCCTGATTTTGTCCCAAACCTGGTGGCCAACTACAAGAAACGTCTGACCTCTGTGATTGCCAACAAGGGTTTTGCCACCAAGTACTGAGTCATGTTTTGCAGAGGGGTCAGATACTTATTTCCCTCGTGAAAATGCAAATCAATTTATAACATTTTTGACATGCGTTTTTCTGGATTTTTGTTGTTATTCTGTCTCTCACTGTTCAAATAAACCTACCATTAAAATTATAGTCTGATCATTTCTTTGTCAGTGGGCAAACGTACAAAATCAGCAGGGTAATCAAATACTTTTTTCCCTCACTGTATGGCCGTTGCAGATGGTCGCATATGCACTTTTAACCACCTGCCGACCATAACTTTTCCAGTAGACGCCTCTTCCTGTTTCGCTAATCAGTGGGCATGGCCGCCAAAATTTTATGGAGGCATGGGGGCAAAATGCCAGATGTGGTCTTCTCTGGGGCACCCCTCAGCCCTTTCTGAGGCCCCCTCAGATCGGAGGATATAAGAGATAACTGCACCACCTGCCCCCCCCCCCCCCGCACTCTCTTTGGCCCTTTCAATTAATCTCAAACAATAGGGTTTTATACTGCAACACACATACCATGAGACCTCCGTGTTTTACAATGGACGAAATCCGTGCAGTTCACATCAGCTAATTCATACGGAGTGTTCTGACCAAATTATACTACTGATGTCCAAGTAGGACTATACACCTGAAATTTAGCACAAATATTATTTAGTTTATGCTTGTAACAAAAAAATCAGAAAACTTGAATTTGGGACCTCAGGACAGGGCCAGCAAAAAGTGGTACGAAAAACACTTAACAAATGTATGATCCCCATAATGAGTGAACCAAGCAATGTGCCCTCCTGTGGTGTGTGCCACTGAAGCCGATAGATAATAGGTGACACTTCCTACTGGGCATTAGTGCAGCATTCACGTAAAAGACACACCGGCGAGCAAACGTGGAAACCTAGGCCATTGGGGAGTGCGAAACCTTGAGTCTGAAAACCACTGCAACACATGGACTTCATATTCAGCTGATGTTACATTGAAAGACGCCATCTCTCACGAATTGAAACCAACAATATACGCAACGCAGGATTATTTGAGGCCCTCTACGAATTGGCAATGGCGAAGTGGTAGAAGATAGGTTATTCTGGATCACACATATACAACGTGCGTCGATTGTGTGAATGGCGTAATGAATAAATAGCACTAAACATAAAAAGTGGGGAATTTTTCAGCCCTTGACACCTCGAGGCAATTGAATAACACGGTGGTGGAGTCGGCATCTTACGCAGTTGAGGATTCCCACAAAGGACGTTGCACCCGTCTGTCTATCCACTCCGATCTTCACAGTCGCATTCCAAACCAGTGACAAATCAACTCGGAAATCTCCCACAGTCGGTTGCTGGTGGAAGGCAAGCCGGTGGGCTCGGTTTGCGAGAGCGGGTAGCTTTCAGGCTCAGGTAAACATCCTAATGATGGGAAGGGGAACCTGAGCAGCCCCGTTTGCACCCAGCAACTGACCACCCAGTGGTCAAGTGGCAGCCTGAGCACCATTGACGGTTGCTTCTATCACAGCCCCACCACCCCCCACACACTCTCTCCTATTGCGGGCCACCTGGCTCTACTACTGCTGCTGTAAGTGGGGTCATTCCAAAAAAGCAAAGTGGTTAGGGAGGTACTGCAGCACTCAATTTTCAATTAGATTTCCATTGACACCGCGTAAGGGGTGGGGGCAGTGGGCGCACTCGCTAGCACACTGCGCTATGAATCCTGCGACCTGAGCTGCCCATGGTGTGAGCGATATCGGAACTGGTTCTGGGATCCCCGCTCTTCACCATGCACTGACCAGCATGGTGAGGTATGACCAAGTAACTTCCGTGAGGGAGGCCTTTATCTGTCGGCGGATTGAGAGAGTGCTGTAAATGATTAACATTAGGACCGTGTAAATACGTGTTAAAAACCAGAGATCTCTGTTTCAAGGGAAACGTGGGTAAGAATAGTTACAGCGTTAACAGCGAACAGGTATTTGTGCGACAAATGCAAGAATGGGGTTAACTCCTCCATGAGGGTGAATGACTCTGTCAGAGCAGTAAAATACTTTGACTGGAATTCATGAAGAGGAAAAAAAGCCACCACTGGTGCTCTAATTGTACAATTTATCATTTAATTCAAATCTGGCCAACGACAGTCCATTCGTTACACGCTTGCCAGGGGTAAAGGGGCTCTCCGCAGAGCTACCATGGAAGGGTTTAATCTCGGCCAAAATTGCTGCAAGGCAAATAGCTGGGCAGAGAGATGATGAATGAACGAACGAGTGGGTGAATGAATGTGCAAACAAGGGCTTTGTTTCCCTCCCGCCCCTTCTCCTTTGGACATTCAGCCGGAACACCACTAAAGCAAACACAGAAAACAGTGCCCCTTGTGCTTCCCCGGCCTTCCACATTGATCCCGATCTCACAACCCCACCACCAAGAAGAAAAAAATATCTCTCTCTGGACCATCCCCATCCTGTCTTGTCCACGTCCCCCCGGTCAGCCCTCAGTGATCGAGGGTCAGTGGTCCGATTACCATCACGTGGCCCTCGGGGCTCCCCTGCCCAGCCATGCGTTGAGCTGCTCTGAAAGGACGTGGAAACAAGTAAACAGCGGCTTGAGTGGAGGAATTGGCCAAAGCTCGGTGTGTCACACCGCGTCCCGGGCAGCGATAACTGCGGAGATGGATGGAATGCATTTTATTTTGAAAAAAAAGCAAAGCTCTTAATTTGTGCGGGAAAGCCCCGGTGAGCATCAAATCTTTTTTTTTCAGGAGGCTAATGAGTGTTTGACTCTGTGTGAGAACAAACCGGAGTGCCTGGAGAAACCCCACGAACACAAGGCGACTCTCAAAATAATGCACAATTACGCTTCGATATTCTGCTGCTGTACTGCAATCTCTGGGCCATCTACCAGCCCAAGCCGACAATACCCAGCAATCTCAGGCAGTCTCCCATCCAAGTACTAGCCAGGATCAAAGCTGCTTAGCTCTTCCGATCCGAAGCGATCGGAGAGGGTGCTTTGGTTGGGCGTCTGCATGGTGCAGTGGTCAGAGCTCTCGCCAGCTTTTGGCAGAGTATGGAATGTGCCAATTAGGTAATTTTTGAATGACACCCACGATTCAAGGAGTGGCTGATTCATTGCGCTCTCAGGAGCAAGGCCTTGATGAGCTTATTTAAACCGTAATCTGTGTGCGTGACTTGACGTTCCTGGATAAGTCTCCACGCCTGACTAGATATTTAGAGGTTTTATCAGTCGGTCAGCTTATTACCTAACAAGCGGTTGAGCCCCATTTGTGTGAATTCAAATCTAAATTCACATGGCAAAGCAAAGGATGGAAATCTCTTTACAACGGCAAGATGCTGTTTGGTGAGGGCCTATGACAACCAGTAGAGCACATGAAGGAGAATTGTAACCAGTATATATATACACACACAAAACATCATCATAGAATACTGGGGAAAATGCTCTTCGTTAACAGCTACTAAAGGCTAGCACTGAGCACAGTGGGGTGTGTGGCCAACACCACGCACAGCCACATTTGTGTTCTCCTCGCTGATGTTTACACACCGCACCAGGTACTCATTTGAGACTGAGTTCACCATGGAGAGGCCCAGGATCTGTTCAGATAATCGTCACTGGTGTTGGCCATGTGCGGGAATCGAACCCCGGGTGACCGGGTTTGTAGCGGAGTGTGCTAACCACTGCGGTACCGCTCCTCTCATACCAACACAAAATACAAAGATCCCCCGTGTAGCCTGAACAGACTGTAGGGGCAAGTGCTGTTAGCGAGTAGCACCTATGAAGGCCGGCACGGCACACGACGGGGTGGGTGCCCAGCACCACGCCCAGCCGCCTTTGCCTCCCCAGTGGCGATGTTTACACACCGCACCAGGTACTCATTTGAGGCTGAGTCGACCTAGGCGAGGCCCAAGACCAGTTGAGATAATCGTCACACGCACACACATACATCAATTTTTGAATAATAGCATTATATATTCTATGCATAATAACAGTTATAAACTTACCCAGATCTTCAACGGAGAACTGGAAAATGTCGCTGGTGGCGTTGTCCCCCTCATTGAGCACGTAGAAAACCTTCATTTCATCGATGTCACCTGCAACAAGGATGTTTAGAAAGCTCAAGTTAGAAATACAGAACACCTGAGCAATTTTAACGAAGAGCAGGCAGCTCGTGGAGGCATTCTGAGAAGTTTACATCTTGAGATAAAGTGATAGCACGTGTGGATTTCTTGGCTTATCTTCAGAACAATGCCAATGTGGCTTCCCGCTCGAACAATTTCAGAACACTGCCTCGTCTGTTTGCAGCGCTGAGAAAGCGGTTAAAAACCCACATTCCCATGGCAGGGATGAGTTTATCCCATAGTACAAACACTGCTGACTTCCCACAAAGTGGTATTCATTTATTGATCCTCCAAAAAACGTGGGACCAAATCAACCCCCCCCCCCCCCCCCCCCCCCCCCCAATCAGGATTTGAACTTGTGACCTTGCAATTGTAAGTGGAGCGCTGTAACCACAGCGCCACGTGACCGGACTTAATCCACTGCGCTCCATCGATTTACCCTCTTACAGCAGCAGCAGTAGTCTGAGATAGGGGTGCATATTAAGGAAGTTTTTTTTTTTAATTAAGATACGATTAGCCTGAATTGGTGTGATTTTATTCAAGAATCTATGTTTTTAGTAACTTTACGGCGAATGGTAGTGGCTCTTATGGCTGCAGGGGTCATGTGAACACTAGTCACAGAACGTAAACGAACAGGAAACAATTTGATGCATGTATCGTGAGCTTAACAATTGATAATTAATCAATAAATCAATGCATATTTCTGCTCCCACTCTTTAGCCTTAACCTTTGAGGTTCCGGCCACAACATCATACTCCAAGCTGTGCTGGAAACACGAGAAGATATCGATGTTCAAAGTGTTAACCCTTTGACCTTGCAAGTCAACCCATGAATAAATTACGATGCTGCCTGAAGTGTGAACACGTATGAGAGGATTGATGCGGACACAAATACGACCTCCGCTATTTTAATGTTATGCCATTTGTCTGCACGATGAAAATTAGACCCATGTGCATTATATGTGGTCGTTCTTTTAGGTAGAAGCATGAGGAAAATCTGCCATGGGTTTAGTCGCATAATCATTATAATATAACAATTTACAGCCCTTTGGCAAATTCACTGCTGGATTAAGGCCTCCTCATGCCGTAGCCAGTCCATGTTTTTTTTTTATACCATACTTCTCCATGCTGGTTAGTGGTGGTTCAGTTATCGCTTGCCACTGATGTAAGCTATGGCAGGGAATTGAACTCGGGTCACGGGGCTCGTAGCGAATCACTGTAGTGGCATTGCTCCACCCCAGTAGCGGACACATAACCTCGGATGAACGCGATTGTGCATGTATTTTATGGGGGGCGAATGAGGACGTGATACGTGCATACATTGGGCAGTGCCGGATTAAGCTAGTGCGGGGCCTGTAGCATATGTTATAAGGGGGGCGTAAATAAAATAAACCCATCAATATTAAAACACAAATGTTTCACTTGCATAGTAAAGTAATTGTACTTTTTCATTTGCTGTACAGCCAGATAATACGGCAAATCGCTAACCTTAAACATACAGTAGTTCATAAAAGTTGAAGGCGGTATAGTACTATAGTAATAGAGCAAGTGCAGAATCACTGAACCGGAATTGATTAGCTTGAAAGCATTTAGCGCGGGGCCGTTGGAAGTGCGGGGCCCGTCGCATATGGAGCTACTTTTGCTACTAGGATAATCCGGCACTGACATCGGGCGAGAAAAAGGATATCAAAAGTATGCATTTTTACTCACATCTACTACACAATCAAGCGCATTACGTGATGTTCAATAGAGATAACTGTGTGCGCGCAGGCACACGTATTGTGCAGACAAGATACGAAACGCAATCAAATAAAAAAACGAGGACAATTAAGAAACACCTCTACAAAAGCACTCAAATCTCACAGGATCCGAAACATGTCATCAGTGAAAAGTAAAGATAATGTTGAACGTTTATATGCATAAAATGTATTCTCCCATGAGCCAACAGCACAAAGATCCAGATCTCACACTCAATGTGTGGACTGCCAGGTGTGAAGGAAATACCGCTAGGACATACAATATAAGCCGGAGGGGGCTTCTATGCGTGAGAGTATTTATTTGTTTATTTGTTTATTTATTTATTTACGACCTCTTCCCACTAATTACCCTCTGTGCCCAGAGCTATGGCTCCATGGTGAACCTGTGCGGCTCAAAGGGACCGCCACCTGTCCTCTCACAACCGTGCTCACCCATAGAGCCACTGCACCACCCTTTGTCTTCTTTTCCAGCGGGAATTTACAGCGCCAACCCCCCCCCCCCCCCCCCCCAGCGACTGACTCATCGTGTCACGCTCATCAAATACAATTCCTACATTGATTTATTATTTTTTGGCAACTGCACGTAAACCTAGCGGATTGATCGGATTGTACAAGGAGAGAAAAGGTGCTTTGCGTTGCGTTGCATCGCGGATGCTCATTTCGTAACCTCCGATTAGCACGGTTGGCTTTGTACGCTTCGAAAGAAGTTAAATAAACGAACGTTTGAACGGGGAACGCGGCGAGGCATCTCAAGTGTGGTGTGCGATGCTCATCGTCAACACGGAGGCAGGGTTCAACGTCCGAAGCCTAAATTCGTGGAATCATCACTCGATCAAAAAAAAGGTCTGAAATCTCAAATCCTACGTCCACATTCTGACGTCCGCAGACTCTTTTCAACAGGAAGCATTTCCGCACGTGGTTCGTATTCCTAGCCTCCACCAATTTCCTCCGCGATTGTATGCTTTTATTGAAAGGAGAGTTGAGCTACAGCAATTACATCTCTGGTTTGTGCTACTACGACGATGGGATTTATTTGCCCAGGCTTTCCTGCTCATAGCCCCAGCAGTTTACCGCTTCGCTCCGCCGAGTAAAAGAGAAAAGACGTTAAATTGTAAGCCGCACATCTTGGCCGCGTGCTGCCCCGTGCGTTTTGGTTGCACCTACCAAAAAAAATAATAAAGTTTCAGGCCAGCAACTTCGTGCTCGCACTATTGCTGGCGGAAGGGCCTCCCATTGGAGGGAGGTCAAAACGGCCCCTCCAGAAGAAACTTTGGTCATTCTTTCATGCTGGCCAGGCGTCTCAGAAGAGGTGGGTGTAGCCACACTTTACCCCACCGCAGGCGACCCTCCAATAAACTGTGGTGTGCCCATTTATACTGCTGGGTGGACAGAGGCAGGAGGTGTTTAAGAAACGTGCACACCATTGACACTTGCGCGCCGGTAGATCGAATCGAAGTGGCGATCTCTGGATTGCAGGTTCACCATTGCACCGCTTGTGGCGGCAAGGCCAAGTAAAAACAAAAAACGTTCAATTGTAGGACCCACATCATGACCGTGTGTGCCGGCTCGTGCCTTCTAGCCGTACCCTAAAACAGGGGCTCAATTTGTATATGTGTTCGCGCGTGTGCGTTATGTGTGTGGCATGCCGTGAATCTGCATCTGCCTGACCCAGAAAGAGATCTCTTATCATGCAATCTTGGCAAAAGCAGCTGTGTTTATTGCGAGTGGCGCAGAGTCACCCGGGGGAGCGGGATGTGGCTGGGACAGGTTGGTTCACATTGCTAAGTTGTCTTTTAGGAACCATTCGCGATATTCCACCTTAGGTTCCACACTGCAATAAAATCCACGGACGCTCCTTGCAAGTGAATAATGCCACCCGTATGAACCGGAGAGCAAACGAAATAATGGCCTGGAGGTGAATCATAACAACAACAATGCTGCGAATGTATTAACCAAGAAGGTCCTAGGGTGTCTCATTGGGATGCTTGGCCAATTTTATTGAGGGGCATTTGCCATATGGAAGGAAACTGGAGTAAGTCAGTGAAAGCCCACACGTATTATATAGTAATACTCAAGTACCACACAGATAGAGTAAATCATCCTTTGCTGTTACGTAATATAGCCTTGGCATTTTTCAGCCCCATTCCTACAACACTCGAATAGTCTTGACGGTAAAACGTTCAACTATTAAGCTTCTGTGATGAAGCTGCGTGGATGCATCTATCATCTATCTTAAAACATATTTTGCTATCAGACAACAGCAAAAGGATTTGTCTCAATATGTATTGTAATCTGATACGGCGTCTTAGGCGCTTGTAAAGAAATCTATTAACCAACAAAAATATTTGTAGGAAATTACTTTCAAAGATATTTTCGTAAAAAAAAATGCTATTGCTTTACAAATTTTACTTTCTATATATGTCAGAGTGAGGACAAAAAATAAACATTGCTTGAGCGTCTGGAAAATGTGCTTTTAGACAGTTGGCAGTGGTATAATTTCAAAAGGTCATACGACACATTTAAAATGCAACACAAGTCATGTGCAAAATGTAGACATTACATGCACTGCCCTTTTACCAATACATTTCCCGAAGTAGGGCCTCTGCACACAGCGCATCTTGTGGGGGTTATCTGGCCATACTTCACCACTCTAGTCAGTGTGGGTTGTTCAAGGTGTAGGAGCATGGAAGTGGGTGGGAGCACAGACGTGCAGTACAATCATTTACTGCACTACCCTCTGCTGCCTACCACGTAGCCCCGCACCCTATGATTTAGTGGCATGCTGGTCACCCATTCAAAACACTCTCATTCAGTTCTAGATTTGAATTCTCATTCAGGTTGAGGCCTTCTTAGCTTCCAAAGCGTGATAAGATTGATCAAACAAATTCAGTGAGCAAGCACCCAAGGTCCTGTGTTTATTACCAGATGGATCACTGCAGTCCGTATCTGACGTGCCAATATAACCACGTTTATTTTGATCGATTGGCCCTTAAAAGGCTAAACGTGCACTTGATGCACAGGGACCGTCGTGTGAGCTGGCCACATGGTATTTCAGTTTCACTCGGGCACTTCTCCCTTGCCAACGCGCTTCTGTGCAAATCCAAGCTTGGCACACCAGCCAGCCGAGTCGTGTAACATCATCAAGCGCTGGCTGGAGATAAAAAAATATTAATGGCTGGCTATCATCGTTCCGAACGTAACACAGCGTAAATTAGAAGCCTGCTCGCTCTGCAGAACTGAACGGCAATCAGTAACAGATGCGGATATATTTAATCCCGTGAAATGCGCCGCTTAAAATGTTCACGGCCCTTCAACATCACTCAGACCTTCTTTGCAGGCTTCAGTCTCCCGGCTTCCTAAGAAGCCGCAACATAGCCAAGAGCAAGGCAAGTGGTGTCGCACACAGGATCTCCCAGGGGCTAAAATTGCCCTATATATATTTATTCGTGGGCCCTGCTCGTAGTTAAGCCAGGGTTAGGTGTTGGTCAACTACATCCCTGTGCTTACAGCACCAAGGGGCTGAGAGAGCCTTCACTGCTGCTGAGGCGCCGCCGTCACCAGCCCATCAAACAATCCGAGCTACCATCCTTCGCTGCTTTGCTCCGTTGCCAACAGATCGGCTGCCCGCTCGGGTGGTGCCACCCTCGGGAGGGGCGCCGGGGGGCAGCCCTCGACACCATTCCTGATACGGGCACTCGCCACAAGGGAAACCCTGTTGCGTGATCTTGTTTCGACGGAGGTGGCATACAATACGCCAGGGAGGTGAGGGGAGGGGGTTGCGCACGTGTTAAATACAGTGCTGTATAAACACATCTTACAGGCAAGCCCGTAAGTGAAGCAGGCACGCAACGCATATATTTGTTATGGTTGTGGGTGTCCACCGAACTGGCGAACTTAAAAAAAAAAACACCACTTGAGGTTAAACATTGTTCCAAAATGTTTTTTGTTGTTAAATTTTATGAATTTAGAATGGGGGGTTGAGCCTTCAGCAGGTTGGAGAGGGGGCGCCCAGCCACCCTCGCCCCCCGACCCCCCAAAGCTACGGGGCTGACCAAGGGGATGAAGAGGGAGGGGTTACAGCCCAGGGATCGGCGTCCTGCGGCTCTGGAAAACGCATTTGGCTCTTCAAGGGCTGCTTCGTGACCGTTATTTATTCAGCACCACCGTCTCGTATCTACGTGGAATTGCGGCTCTTGACATAGTTTTTTTAAAATACCGAATTCAAGAAAAAAAAACGACTCTACCTCGTTATTTAGGTTGTCGATCCCTGGGTTAGACGAAGTTGTATTCGACGTCTCGAATTCACGTTGCCTCGGTCATCCCTATAGATGGCGCTATTAGATTATGTTGAATGTGATTCTATTATTTAATTGTACGTATCCTGCGCCGCACGACTTTCTCTATTTGCGGGAACTTGGATTCTAAACAGTGATAGATCTTGATCAGTAATTTCACCACCGATTTTATACCGCATGTATCTGCCGTAGTTCCATTCGCCGTGTAAACATCGGGCAGTGCGCTAACCACTGTGCCACCGCTCCAACCGTCACCCCCCCCCCCCCCCCCCCCCATTAATTCAGTCTCACGAATTCCTCAATCACAACGCCTTACACTCATTCCGCCCAAACGACTGTAGTTGTTACGCAGACGCTAGCCAGATGCAATGCCTCATCGCCTTCTTTGGGGCCGACGACGAACGCGCTTAATTGAACACCCGCGGTTCACGCCGCTAAGCTGCGACTTTCCGGCTGCGCGCTCACCCCGCACTGATCCCTCGAGACTGCTTCACGCTCGTGCTGACGCCGCCCCCCCCCCCCGTGATGATGACCCCCCCCCGCCCCGCCCCGTCGACGTGGATTTGAATTTGTTTATTTAAAAGCACCTGTCCCATTCCGCGCAGGTGCGGTGAGCGCGTCTCGCGCCGAGTGCCAATCATTGGGCGCGCCTCTTAAGAGCTCCACATACAGGACGCCGAACGAACGTGAAATGCAGTGGTGGTGGGGGGGGGGAAGGCAAAGGACTGCACTTTCATTTTTTTTTTACGCAACTACGGCCTCCTCTCTCCTCCCTCTTAACGCCACGACAATGCATCAGCGACTAAGCCTGCAACAGCTGAGACACCTGTGTTCGGATCCGGGTTCAAGCCGCCCATGATTAAACCGGATTCTCAAGAGGAGTGAGTTGGTGCTCTCATCACAGATCACCAGCGACTGAACAGAACACATATACTGTACACGGTGTTCAATTAAACTTTAGCCGAATTGTGTTAATGGTGCAATATTTGAAGGGATAATGATTAATAACGCTTTAGATTCGTCCTGCGACGAGCGGCGCAATAGCAGGGCGCATGGGAAATGCAGCGCCCCTTGATGTGGGGAAAAAAAAGTGGCAATTGTAGGCATCTCAAAAGTATTTCTGTAATAACGTCAACTTCCAAAAGTCGTTGTCTGTATACGAGCTCGGTGTTGTGAAGTCCTTTCAGAGAGGGTTCCTAATGGTTTTCGCCCCCCCCCCCCACACTCTCCTCCTCCACTTTGTAACGCAAACACGACTCTCATAAGCACTATTTGGAATCGCATCACGGCGAAAAACCACAAAACAAAACAAGTGAAATGCTTCTCGCTGCAGCGGCCCCGCTCGCTCGCTCGCTCACCTTGCGTGAACGTGGAGACGCTGTCATTGCCCAGGCCGGCGTTCATGACGAAGCCGTGCTCGGGCCCCTGTGTGATGGTGAAGGTGAGCACCCGATTGGAGCTGTCTCGGTCCTCCGCCTTGAGCGACTTGCCGCTGATCATGAAGCCCAGATGTCCCGTGGGCAGGAGGCGCAGAGTGGGCGCGCCCTTGTTCACCAGGATCTGGGGCACGCCGTTGTCCACCTCGACTATGCGGATGCGCATAGTCTGCGGCTTGCGCGTCTCGAACACCGTGTCGGGGAACACGTAGAAGTCCGTGTGGGTGCCGTCGGTCACCGTGAACGAGAAGCTGTCCTCGCTCGTCTCGGTGCCGTCGTGCCGGTAGCTGACGAGGTTCTCGTTCAGGTCCTGCTTGGTGAAGGCCATCACGGGCCGGGAGCCGTTGTAGAGCAGCTGTCCATGCACCGGTACCTGCGTGACGGTGAAGCGCAGGCGGCGGTCTGGCGTGTCGCGATCCTCCGCGGTCAGCTCGAACGGCGTGATCAGCTTGGTCTCGCCCTCGTTGAGCCTCAACTCGTGGATCGTAACCACGGGCTTCTTGTTGTCCACGTCGCTGATGGAGATGCGGAACGTGCGGAACACCGGGTTGTAGCCGTCCGTCACCTCGAACTCGAAGCTGTCCATCTTCACCTCGTCGTCCGAGTTGTGGATGTAGTAGACCTTGTTGCCCGCCAGTTGGAGCTGCGTGAAGGTGGCGATGGGGACACCCGGCTTGTCTGTGCACTCGAGGTGGCCGCGGATGGGCGCTCGCGTGATGCTGAACTCGAGGTTTTCGTCTGGGCTGTTGATGTCGCTCGTGCTGAGCAGGTCGGTGGTCAGCGTGACCCGGCCGCCTTCCTTGAGCGTCACCCCCTTGTTGATGACGTCTGGGAAGACCATGTCGATGCTGCCGACGCTGACGTAAAAATACCGATCGATCAGAGGGTTCTTCCCGTCGGTAACGTCAAACTTGATGAGGTCCCGGACGCCCTCTTGACCCGTGTGGACGTACTGGATGAGACCCTTGTCGATTTCGTCTTGCGTGAAGTTCATGCCGACGGTCACGTTGTCAAAGTCGTCATCTTCCTTGTTTACTCGCTGCAAGAAGCCCTGGCCGGGTCCAAAACGAATGATGTACGTGAGCGTCTTGTCGTCCGAATCGTGGTCCGTGGCCTTGAGTACCTTATTGGTGATGGTTTTGACTTCACCAATCTCGACCTCGAGCCCGTCGTTGATGGTCATGCGCGGCGTTTCGTCGTCCGCCGTGAGCACCATGATGAGGATCTTCTTGTCCACGCTGTTCTTCCCGTCCGAAAGGCTGATCTCGAAGCCGTCCTCCTTCGTCTCCGAGTCGTCGTGCTCGTACACGATATTGGAGCCGCCCGTGATGTCCTCCATGGTGAACCTCACGACCGGCACGGTGCCCGTAGCCCTCTGCTGCACGATCTGCCCGTGCTTGGGCTTCTTCGTGATCGTGAACTCGAGCGGATCGGGAGGGACGTCCGAGTCTTTGCCGTTCAGGATCGGGGTGTCGATGACGAGGCTCATGCCCTCCATCACGATGAACTCTCGGCTAAAGATCTCGGGCTTCTCGTCGTTGGCCGGATGGATGACGATCTGGAAGAAGTGCCTGGGCGAGAAGTTAACGCCGTCCGAACAGCGGAAGGTGAACCTGTCCTCCACGGGCTCCACGCCCTTGTGGATGCTCTGCACGTAGTTGACGTGCCTCAGCCGCACGTCCTTGATGGTGAAGGCGCTGATGGGAGTCCCCGCGCGCGACTTCTCCGAGCCGGGAGCCGGAGAGATGTTCTCCAGGTAGCCCGAGGTCGGCTGAACGATGACGGTGCAGAGGATGTCATCGTCGGGAGTGTCCACGTCCTCGGCCCTGAGGTTGTGCAGCGCGATGACGTTCTTGTCGCCCTCGTTCACCGCGAACTGCTCCCCCATCGTCACCACGGGGGCGACGCTGTCCACGGGCAGGATGGTGACTCTGACGCGCACCCCCTGCACGTTGTTACCGCCCACCACCCACTCGTCGGACAGGTCGGAGATGGTGAGGTTGAAGCCGTCCTCCTGCTTCTGCGCGCCGATCTCGCCGCCCGTGTGCGCGTAGAGGACCGCGCCGTTGATGATGTCCTGCTGCGTGAAGCGCTCCGCGGGCGCGCCGTTCACCAGGATCTCGCCCGACTTGGGCACGTCCTCGACGATGAACGTGAGCATCGTGTCGTCCGTGTCGGCGTCCGTTCCTCGGATCACGTTCGTCGTGATCTCGCTGGCGCCGTTCTCCAGCACGTCCATGTACGAGCCGAGCGTGCCCTCGGGCAGCATGATGGTGGGCGTCTCGTCGTCCACCGGCTTCACAGACACCTTGACGGTGACGGGCAACGCGTGCACGCCGTCGCTCACGTCCAACGTGAACAAGTCGACGAGCGTCTCGGCGCCGCTGTGGGAGTAAGCGACGCGTCCGTTCGCGATGTCGTCGAGCGCAAACACCTCGCCCGCGGCCATCGCCACGTTCACGTACAGCAGCTGGCCGTGCTTGGGGGCCTGCGTGAGCGTGAACGTGATTTGGTTGCCGTCCGTGTCCGTGTCGGTGGCGTCCAGCTCTCGGCTCGTGATCACGAACGTGCCCCTCTCTGGCACCGTGAAGCCCGTGTTGATGATCTGCGGGGGCTTGTTGTCCACGGGCTGCAGGAAGATGATGAAGGTGCCCTCCACGCCGTTGCCGGCCGTGTCCTCCACCGTGAAGGCGAACTGAACGACGTGGGGCGTGATGCCGAGCTCCTGTTCGGGCGGCTTGTAGGCCACCTTGTGGTGGTTCACCTGCGCCTGCGTGAACTCGCTCACCGCGGTGTCCGGCTTGTCCGTGAGGACCAGCTGCCCAAAGGCGACGGGGTTATTCTCGTCCGTGTCCGTGGGAGGTTTGATCACCGTGTACCTGAGGTCGCGGTCGTCCGAGTCGAGGTCCGTGTAGCGCAGGAACTTTTTGCGCAGGTGCGTCAGCTCGTACTCCTTCACCGTCATCTGCAGGGTGGTGCCCGGCACCAGCTCCGGGGGCAGATCGTCCACGGGCTGGATCTTGATCACGAACGAGTGCTCGCCCGACTGGTTGGGCGGCTCGTTGTCGTCCTGAACGCGGAACACGAACTGGTCCATGACGGTCGTGGTGCTGTGCGGCCCCACGTGCCGGTAGTGCAGCCTGCCGTCCAGGATGTCCTGCTGCAGCCACTCGGTCACCACCTTCTCGTAGACGCCCTCCGACTCGACGAAGGTCCACGACGTCTCGTCCTCCACGGGCTCGTTTTGTCTCAGCACGAGCTCGCCCACGCTCGAGTACGGCTCCTCGACCGTGAACCTGACCGTCGAGTCCTCGGAGTCGATGTCCGTGGCGCTCAGCACGAAGGGCGACAGCTGCACGATTTCGTTCTTGGAGAGCACGAGACCCGTGTTGGCGTTCACGATGGGCGGCTCGTCATCGGTGGGCACGATGGTGACGGGAAAGAGAAACTCCACCTCGTGTTTGCCGTCGCTCATGCGGAATATGATGTTGTCGCTGTACGTGTCGCTGCCGTCGTGCCGGTACACGACGATGCCGGCGTCGAGGTCGGCCGGGGTGAAGAATTTCTTGCGAGCACCCAGCACCGTGAGCTCGCCGCGCTTGAGACCGTCGATGACGCTGATGCGCACGTCTCCCAGGTTGTCCTCGTCGCTGATCTCGAGGTTCTGCGCGCTCGACAGCGGCCGCGACTGCCCCTCGAAGAGCAGCTGCCCCGTGTTGCGCGTCGCCACGGGTGCGAGCGTGTTCATGGGCTTCACGACGATCATGAACGCGAAGGGGTCCGACGCGGAGCCCTCCGTGTCCACCACCTCCATCTCGATCTGAAAAATGCGTTCCGCGTCCGAGTCGACCGACGGCGGCTTGTAGGCGATCTTCAGGTCCTTGACGTCGCGCTGGTAGAAGGAGGTGATGGGCAGGTTGCGATCGTCCGTGCTCACGATGTAGCCTTGCTGATGGCCCAGCGGGGACGTGATGTTGAACACCAGGTTGTCCGGATCGGACTCGATGTCCTCTGCGGCCAGCATGTCCGGCGTTATGGCCGTCATCACGAACTGGTCCACCTCCATCATCATCATGGCCACGAAGCTGGGCTTTGGCGGCGTGTTCTCGGCTCCCTCTCTGATGCGCACCATGATCTGGAAATACTCCTGCTTGAGCACTTCTCCCTCCTTGTCCGTGAGCTCCACCAACATGGGGACGTAGTCACGGTTCGGGGTGCTCGTGAGCGCCGTGTGCTCGTAGCGGATGTCGGCGCTGACGAACTCGGCGCAGCTCGTCATCTGGTGGTTCGCGTTGAAGTTGACGAGCTTGCCGTAGCGCGGCAGGTTGCCCGCGCCGACGAGCGCCGTGATTCTGCACACCTCGTCCGCCTGGTTGTACGTGAACTCCAGTATCTTTTTGTCGATGGGACCGCTGGTGCCCATGAGCTTCTCGACGTTGAGCGGCAGGTTGCGCGTGATGATCTCCTGCTGCAGGAACACCACCTCCACCTCGATCATGAACGGGATGACCACCGTGCCCGTCTCCGTGTCGTACCGCAGCTGCAGCTTCACGCGGTCCTTGGTCGGGCTCCGCGAGCCGAAGTGGGAGTACTTCACGTCCGTGGGGCCGAAGTCGCACGGGAACTTTTTGGGCGTCAGCATGCCGGGCCGCTGCGACAGGGGGTCGTTCTCCAGCACCGTGATGGCGCACCGGTCACCCGGCTGCAGCTGCACCACCAGATCGTTGATGGGGTCGATGTGGACGGAGCGGCCGAAAGGCACGCGGACGCCGTTGTTGGCCACCAGAATGGAATCGCTCGTCGGGCCCGACCTGGGCTCGAAGAAGAGGTCGGCGTCCTCGTTCTGCGCCGCCACCGTGCCCGCACAGGCGAGCGCGGACAGGGAGAGCAGCAGCAGCAGCAGCAGCGAGCCGCGCTCACTGCGGTTCGCCATGCTCGCAGGCTGGCGCGCAATAGCGCTCTGCGCCGCCGAGTTCAGAGCGGATGACACCCGATATTTACGCATTGGCAGTGGAGACGCGCACCGGCCTGGACGCGGAGCGCACGCACGCAACACAGAGCCGCGCAGCGCGCAGAGCTGCCCCTCGCGAGAGCCGAGAGCCTAGGCAGCGCCGCCGCTGTGAATGCCGTCTGTTAACCCCGCTCCTAAAATACTCCACCCCGGCTACGGGAGCGATCCCTATGCATAAGCGGCCGCATCTCCCCTATTGGCTCCACGAGCGAGGGCTGCTCCCTTGGGGCAGCTCCCATCCACCCCACCAGAAACCCAGTTCGGTCCCCCTACCCCCCCACCCTCCTCCCCCCCCCCCCCCCTCTGAACCCCTCTCCGACCTCCTCCTACCCCGACCCTCACTGCACGGTGGAAGTGTGCAGAGCTACATTTCGCCCAAGGAGTGGAGTAGTTGACTCACCTGCGTTGCCTCCGTCCTTGTGAAGCGAGACAGTCTTGTCGTGGGGAAATATCGAGAGCATTGGCGTTGTTGCTACCTGTCCCTGCTGCACGAGCACCTCGCAGTGCGCTTTTGGATGGAGCTACAGTATAGACAACGATCCCTTTTGTTGATACATTTAGCTGCAAGAAATTGCCACACATTCGTTTTATATTTGGTTCATGGCTAAATATCAACTCGACGTGCAAATAATATCCAGGCTCAAACATGCTTAGCTTCTGAGATATGACGAGTTTCGGGCCCATTATACTCGCTTGCATCGGTCATAGATTCGTAGACATGCACAACGGGATGCTCTTGAGCAGTGGTTCTCAACCTGGGGGTGCGTGCACCCCCAGGGGGTGCGAGATGCTCTCTCTGGGGGTGCGAGACATGGCCAGATCTTTTTAGAAATTAAATCATCGAAAGACAAATTAAGCACGGGCACGTGAGTACAACTACTTTACTTCATCAAACCCTCTATGCACTTATTAATATTGCGACATTTTGCAACGATTGCGAATCCAAAGGGGTGCAAGGCTGCAGAAAAGGTTACGAACCACTGCTGTAGACTCCTGCGTGCCTACGTGCATATCGAGGGCAGTGCATACAAACCGAAACCGTTATCCTGTACGTCTATGATCGCCGCCTTCACAAGCACCAGCGCGTGGTGAAGTGTCGTCAGACAACCCCCACGGCCAGTACGGCGTATGCGGAACCCTCTTCTTGGAGTAAGTAGCTCCATAAAGGGCCGTACGCGGTCACACGCACACAAGTCAATGCAATGAACGCACGTGGACAGTTTTCAATTTCATTCGTGCGGCGTTCAATATCGTTAGCGTGCGCGTGCCTACACAGCCGTGCCAATGAAGTCAGCTGGGACCCGTGGGCAATTGAAATGAAATGTTCGGCATATGTAAGCGGAGTTTTTAAATGACCCGCAGTCGAGCATTACCTGGACACTCAAAAGCAAAACAATGCACCCTTCTGCAGCACAAAGGTTGTAATGAGAAGCATTGACACCTACGCAAGTAACTGCCGTGCATCCGCAAAGACAAAGATAGCCTCAACAGATTGTTCAGGTAAGTGCTGTTAGCGAGCACCTACGAAGGCTGGCACGGCACACGAGGGATTGGGTGGCCAGAACCTCGCCCAAACGCCTTCGTCTCCCGAATGGCGATGTTTATGCACCACGCCCGGTACTCATTTGGGGCTGAGTGGCGCTACGGGAGACCCAAGACCGGTTCAGATAATCGTCACTGGTATTGGGTGTAAGCGGCGAATCGAACTCGGGTCGCCGGGTTCGTAGCAGAGCGCGCTATCCGCTGCACCTTGGCATCCACGTAACACACACACACACGCACATCGCTTATAAAACACCCCATATTAGATTTCAAACATAACATGTATAATATTCCACTGGAATGTGGAATCACAGTAATATATAGCGTTTATAAGCTTGCGCTGGGACTACGCTGGTGCAATCTGTGTCAACGTCGTACTTGAGGAGCTCAAATTATTTTATAAATAGGGCATCCCGTGGGACTTGTTCTTTTCTTCTGAAAGGGGTAGCGCACGATTATTTTCTGCACTAAATGTCAGCCAGGAAGATTAGTTAGAGCCAGACGCGTAACTCTCTCTCTCTCTCTCCCTGGCTTCGTGTTTGCAAAGCTTGTATTTGTTAGCAGCAATATAGCAGTGCTGTTCGAGACATTTACGTCTCCAACATACAAGATGTCTAAATATTATTAATCATCATAATCATACTTTTTGGGTCTTTCGGTAAAGTCACGTAGATAGAAAAATAATACAAAACAATGTATTCTGCCTCAGCAGTTCGCCTGCTGTATTTTTTCACCTGAAGACGATTGCTTGTGTTGCGATCGAAACGTCGTGATTTTTATTTCTTATTTTTCTATCTACGTGACTTTACCGAAAGACCCAAAGAGTATGAATTCCTGCAGTAACGAAAGCTTGAAGTCAAGATCATCATCATCATCATCCTAAACTCAATAACATGTCATCGCAAACATCGTTTCATAACTAATTTTTGTTGACGGTCACCACCACTCGAAAATAATGTTCCTATTCATCATCATTATGCCAAGAATTATCGTCATCTCAATCATACTTGTGCCTATCACTACCAATTCTTATCTTTATTATTGTCAAGAATCTTCAACGCCATCTTCATCGTGACTTTAAACTCTACAGAAACATTCTTCTAATGTTCATCACTACGGACACTATCGTTATCATCATCATCATCATCGTATGATGTATGTTGGACTTCTTTCGCACCGTACGTAGCCGAACGTGCTCCATGCGGCAAACGAATCTGAGTGCGTGAACTTAGTCTGGCGCCGTCAAACATCACATTAACTGACCTAGTTACTATATGAGGGTCTTGGAATGTACACAATCCCATCGGCAGAACACATAATGACTAATCGCACTATATATATAAAACTGACATGAACCCACGACCAACATATTTTGGTAATGTTTTTTTTTTAATTCTACAGACTCACGCAATGCAAATGAAAACACATTTGGTAACATTCCATAAGCATTCATGATTGTTTTTGGGTTTATACCAAAATTATTGTCATTCACTCTCCAACACGCGACATTGTCGCGTTTACAAAGATGCAATGCATACGTGGCAAATACAAAGCATTCATAAAGTTCCGACCAATAAAGCTTCTCCTCACGGTGTGGCCAAAAACTTCTAATGGCTGAATTTAACTTCAACATACGCGCGACGTTTCGCTGAAAAAGCTTAATCGGATTCTTCAGGTAACCCTACTTGTAAATCGAGTGGGCTTCCCCAGCTGTCTCTGCTCTTAAGATACCCGCCATGACATCATCAGCTGCAAAATTATCGCCACCTCATCGTCACGGTTCATTTGCGCTAACAGTATTTGTAATTTGGGTCTGGATACTTTGAATATGTTCATTATTGGCAAATATTTTCAAAGAGATTCATTTCAACGGACTTCCCTGGATTTTTTAAATGTCTTAAAGTGTTAATTATTTTAAACATTATTTTAAACATTTAAAATAGGTTCAAGGTACTTAACTATAAAATGGTTCGGATGTATTGCTTTTTATGACGGTATTGCTCAGTACGATTATTTAACCATATTGTTTTTACAATTTAATCGTCAGGTTACATATACATTAATGGTGTTGGTTCTCTTGATTAGTTACTGAGTGCAGTTCGGAGTGTAGTTTAAATATGTACTTACGATTGAGTAAATGTGCCACCATGCAGCATTTAGTTAACAACAATCTGCTCTATTGAAGCTGTGAATGAATGCTGCTGTGAATGAATGTTGGCAGGGGTGTTGGCGCAAAACTTCTAACCACCGTGGCAACGCTTCTCCCACTTAATATTCTTTGTAACCACAGTCCAGCAAGAAGCGCAATTGTGCTTTCATGGTGTCCGCAAACCTGTGCAGTCCGCGCGGTCCTTCGCAATGACAATCTCCGATAACCTCTCAATACGAGACCAAAATCACAAGGGCATGAATCGGTGCGATAGGGATCTGTACTTGCACGGGGTTATCAGTGTCCATCACGCATGAACCCCCCTCCCCTCTCGTTGCATTGCGTGACAGACACGCTTTAACTGCTTGCTAGATAAGGCGTTGCAATAACGCGTTGTGTCTGGCGGAGGTTTGCGCGCAACCTGTGGCCTCTGTTTGGTGTACAGGGGGGCTGGGGGGGGGCGGTTAGTCCCAGCTAAAGCGATATGCGAGTTGGCTTTAGTGGCTTTACACGAGGCGATTTTATTTATTTATTATGTCCAGGTGATGAATTGTGAACGGTTGGAGACATCAACTTCTGCGGCCAAAGATGGAGCTTTTGAAATTCATCAATGTCTACTCGCTCGTCCCAGCAAAGCATCCTCCTCCTCCTCCTGCGAACGTCTGCGAGTCTCCTTCCGAAGTGATGTTCGTAATCGGTCCAGCAAGGAATTATTGGACAGATATTTATTGCTGAACTCCGCGAGTGTTTGCATTTGCGTGCTCGCGTTTGTGTGCGAGACTTTGGATCTCATGGTCAGATAAAGCATTGTGACCAAATCCCCCTCAATGCGCCCGATCTCATCAGATCTCAAAAGCTAAGCAGAGCTGGAGCCAGGTTAGTAATTTGATGGATGACCACCAGGAGGGGATGTGGAAAGGAGGGGTTTCTGCAAGGACCAGATCAGATGTCACTCGCCACTGAGATTAGCCGTTGATTGGCATCAAACTTGGCCTCATTGCGTAGTGCGCGTGTGTGTGACCTGGTAACTTTGCCCCGCTTTCTATCTGCGCTCGCATCGCTCTCCATGGGACGTTAATAACTCGCTCAGTGATGGGATCGTCAACTTTCAAGCATTAAACTAAAGCAATGCGTTTTGTAGGCTCCGCTGGCGTATTGGTGAAACGAATCAATTTTCAGCTGACAAATGTGGGGGGCCCAGAATCCAATAATTTGGATGTCCGTTTATAGAGCTGAAGTCTCGATTACAGTTATACAAATTGTCGCTCGCTAGCCCTTTTAGAACATCGTTATACTAAATATCGCTCACTCATATGTGGAAAGAGGAGGGAGTCGTTGGTACAAAATGTGTTCAAATATCACTCACCACTGATGCTAGTCGTGGTTAGGAATTGAACCTAGGTCACCGAGAACAAAGCTGCACAACGTGCCAACTACATTCCTCCC